TCGACCCCCTAGACCACATCTACGCCAAGTACTAGTAATGGCTCACCTTTGGGTTCAAATCATTTGGAATAGATCCAGCATGTCCGTTTTTCGATTTTCGCCCAATTTTCACTGTTGAAATATCGTAATCTCAGACTTTAGCTGCTTTGGGGTAATTATTTAGAAGGGGGGAGGGGGGTGCTTCTTAAGTGTAAGTGTTCTGAGAGATCACTAGACCCGTCTCCTCTGCTCTCGAACTTCTGAAATCATTGGAGTGTGTAAGTCAACATTTCTTACAGAATGCCAGTGGAGAAACTTGCAAAGCCTTGTTTCTGACTGTTTAGGGAGGGAGTCCAATAGGGTTTATTATAATCCTTCAAGAAGAAAAACCACAATTGTTTATGAACACCTAAACTTCTTGAATTCTGAACATTTTTCCTGGGAGCTGGAGCATTGGGTTTCTTAAAATAATTTGGAGCTATCTCGTGACAGGGGTGACGACTTCTGAGGTCGGGTTATTGGCACCAGACTCGTCTAGGAAGATGAAAGCACTGACTTCTACTTGGACAGTCATTGCATAGACCACTGTACGCATTCAAATGCCTGACGATTTTGAATGGAAGCCGAATGCAGGGCGCATCTCAAAAAGGGATTATCAATGTCAAGAACTTCATCTCCTGTCACCGAGATCCAGGGATTCTTCAAAGAACACATTCCCATGGGGATAGTCCCGTTGAAGTAATGAGAAGCCGCGTTCATCCGCCTCGTTCATTTCTATTCAACTTTGAAGCCGCTGCCAATTTAAATGATGATGTATAGGGAAATGTGAAAAAGTAGCTACCGCCCACCTGCTCACTAATTGGTCAAGCAATTTGCCTGCGGGATATGGGGAAAATTGTTTTGATCGTTTTCTAGCACCTATTAGGGGAATCTGGGGGAGAATTTAAAAGGTCGGCATTCCTGCCGTTTTCCTGAAAACAGAAGAGCGGGTGTTCAGCGAAAAAAAAAGCGTATCAATAGTTAGGTTACCGGTTCATAGATGTTTGCTGAATCTTGACAGTTCAAAGTTTCTGTGTGTGATAATGTGCATCCTGTTTCGGACTTGTTGAAGGGCGTGATCTGCAAGTAGGCGGAGTTTTTCAGCCGTGGCAGCCATTCTTTCGATCGTTTTTACTAGAAAATTATCAATGGTCGACTTTTGCTCAAGATAGTGATATCATTCGCAGCCTGACCAGTCCAGTCCTTCATCATTTACTGACATACATGAGGATTGGTGACAAGACTAGGATCGAATCCGCACTGGGTCGACTAAAGTCACCGTCTCCTGGCGGGTTTTATTTGCAGGTCCCAGTGGGCGAAAAAAAAACTAGTCTAAGGATTGTCTGGCTTCGCAATTTAGGCTACTTGGACAGACCAAATGAGGATACTGAACGGAAATGGAATTCGTGGCCCATCTTCAAACGAGATCATCAACCACAATAGATTTGTTTTTATTCATGTGAATTCTACGACATGGATAAGGTTCCTTGCCAAGCAGAAGATGTGTTCTGGCATCTTCGAAAATTTCTCTCCTTCTAGATGTTTTTGCCGGAAAACGGATTAGAACAAGCGGCTGGTTCGAGGACAAGATAACCAGCTCGTTCTGCTCAAGTCCTTCAGAGAAATAGGCTCACTGGCACATGCCATAACATAACACGAATGAACTTCGGCCCTGATTGCTGCCATCCCGCTACTCTATCAATAAAAATGATTATCCGATGCAATATGGAAGTTAGGAGAGACCAAATCTAAGGAAGTTGCAGAACCCATAGCTGAACAAATGGAATGGCAGGAATAGCATTGACTAATCGATTTCGATTAGCTACAAATGAAAGCATCTTTCATGAAATACCAGCGGTGGGCGGGGTTTCCTTAGTGCGAAGCCACGCCCACACGTCGGTACTTGTGCCTCGAAATATTATGATTTCTGCAGTAGTAACAAAGGCGTCCGAATGCTCTGGAAAGTGGGCGGAGTTTTCGGGCACGAGTTCTGCATGTGTGTAACTCCGCCCATTTGCATTCGTGAACTGTGAACAGAACCACTAGGAGCTTAATACGTTCAAGCAAACGATTCATTTCACTTCTTGATCACTTTCATTTCAGGTTGGTCTTATCGTAACACCATTGGGCGCATGGTCAACCGTAGCCGGTGCATGGCCTTTCGGAGTGACACTATGCGATATATGGATTTCTGTAGATGTGATTGTCTGCACTGCCTCTATACTTCATCTGGTGGCTATTGCACTTGATAGGTGGGCTCTTATCAATTTTGTAGTAAGTTGCAATAGTTTTACATAAATTTTAGTAATAATGGTAAAACTAACAAGTAATGTCCTTTTTAAGTTCCGAATGAATTCACTGTTTCATTCATCTCTGTTTTATGCATGATTTATGAACTAGGAATTCACTATTTTACAAGTTTTGATGAATAATTTTTACTGAAGAGATGGAAAGAACAGCGCATCGTACCCATATTCAGAGGACACCTTGTAGTCTAACTAAACCGAAAGTTCTAAAAGTGATTGTATGTCTGTAGCACCAAATGGCTGAGTAATTTTCAAAATCATGATTCTTTTCCTCTTAGATAGCTCTGGTAGATTTTGGCCAGTCCTATGGCTTGGCTAGTGAATGTGTTACGCGATCCTATGAGATGAGCGGTCTCGATACGGCGCTTCTCGTAGCTGCGCTACTTTTTCCGTTTAGGCTGACTTCTCATCCTAATTGCTTAAGCAAGGTAAACCTCATTTTTGCCCACAACGAGACCGTTGAAAAATTCTTCGAGGTTTTTTTGTTATTCTGGCAAGATCACGTGGAGTTTTCGGATTTTTGACTTTTTTGCTCAAACTATTTACAGCAGTTTATTCATAGCCACTTCCCTGTTACTGAATTATGAATGAGCTTTGATCGATGGTAGATTATATTCAGATGTCACTAATTCCCCTTTTCATGACGTTAAGGATGCAGTAATCCGTTCTTAAGCCATCTGACGTCGAGCGTATTAAGTAGAACGCCATCACGCAAAAGCTCGAACACATCACAGTGCATCAGTCTGATTTTCAGGGCACTATAGGGTCTAAATTGCGTGGGGTGGGTTCAAAGTTATTTTTGGATTATCCATTCATAAAAAGCCTAACGGAATCCTATCTGATTGAAGCGCTGAAAGTGCAAATTTGCGATGTTCGAAAGTCGGGGGGTCATGTCTAATGTGCTTTTCAGGCTCTACTAGCTTGTACCATACTNACCCCCCCCCCCCTTCTCGCTGATCTATCGTGCAGAAGAACAAAAAATCGATCGTCTCTCTGAAATTGAAATTGAGAGCCCTAGATTATAACAATTCTTTTCTGGTCCCGAAGAACATGGTCCTTCCTCAAGGATAGGTACGAAAGCTAAAAATCCCTTGTTGATTTATCAGTTAGCCATTTTTACCGATTTATACTCAGCTAATAGGCTATGAGGTAACTGTAAATGAAAAATCATCAAACGATAGATTTGAGATCAAATTCCAAATCGAGTTGTGTCCATGTCATATGTGGCAAATCCCATAGCGCCGACAGATTTGCTTTCTGTTCACGCTTTCTTATTTAGTTTTGGTTATCCATTTTTTACTCATTATAATTCCCATATCTTGTCGTCCCTATAATCATCGATTTTCTCCAAAGAGCACCAACAACGTCTCCAGTTGTCACCGTCACGTGTCAGAATGCTCCAGTGGATCATTCTCGCTCGAGGGACCCGAGACGCAAAATTCCTTTAGCTCAGAGCTTCCCGAGATATCCAGTCAGTGATCGCGTTGGCCCCATGATCGCTACCCTTACCATGGAGCGACAAAAATCTATATTTATATTCATTTCATGAATGGATTTTATCACCTCCTGCGTTCTTATTATCTCGGCTACAATTCTGATGTATAGGAGAGTACAGTCATTGCCTAACTCAGGCTACTTCAAATGGGTCGATATCCTAAATTATCTTATAGACTGGTGCTCGAATATTCGAGAACAAAGAATTTGAAAAAAAATTAAGCGAAGCCCGAATAGATTGGTATCAATCAAAAATCGACCGTCCCATCACAAATGGGAATGACCTGACGGGGCGGTCGATTATTGATTGATACCAAACTATTTGGGCTTCGCTTAATTTTTTTAAATTTTTTTTTCCTGAAGATTCCTGTGAAAATCAGTTACACATTCACTTATGCTGGACCAAATGAAGCCTTGGCTTGCTTATTAGTCGATATTGACAAAGTAAAACTTGTAAGGAAACCAGGACTCAATCGAAAATTGATTATTTTTTCCATTGTACTCGATCGATAATTGATTTTTGAAACTTAGGAAGGCATTTTTAATGTCCCTATGTAGCGAAGGCTCACCAAAATCTTGAAATATTGTCGAGTCAAATAGTGTCTTTTGCAGTTTGCCATCCAGCTTGTTGACCAAGTATTCTTGAGTGACGGCACCAGCCAAAGGGATAAAAACCGAGGCTGTAGCCCTTCTAATCAATCGATAATCGATTTTTCATTATTCATAGAAGCTCGTCGATCAATCGGAAATCGACTTCTTCTTTTTTAGGTATTGGTCAGTGACCGATATCAGCTATGTGCAAAATCGTACACCAAAACGTATTATGATTATGTTAACGGTGATATGGATGACGTCGTTGCTGATCAGTTTGGCACCATTTGCCGGCTGGAAAGACGACGGCTTCAAGGATCGTGTCCTACGTCAACATGTGTGCCTTATCAGTCAACAGATTAGTTATCAGGTATGTGATGGCGATATTAAGGATAAAAGAGACAAGATTAGGATTAACAATACTAATTTGATTATTTTAAAGTGAAAAAGCAGATAGAAAGTTTTGCTTCGAACATGAATTTATCTTCTGTTTGGGTATGTGTGTGTGGGACAGACTGATTTTTCTATTTGTTGATATGACTGTAAGGAAGGCAGAAATTCGAGGTCATCTGTTTCTCAAAGGGTGAGACAACTAGACAGTGACTTGCTGGGAGGNCCTTATCAGTCAACAGATTAGTTATCAGGTATGTGATGGCGATATTAAGGATGAAAGAGACAAGATTAGGATTAACAATACTAATTTTATTATTTTAAAGTGAAAAAGCAGATAGAAAGTTTTGCTTTGAACATGAATTTATCTTCTGTTTGTGTATGTGTGTGTGGGACAGACTGATTTTTCTATTTGTTGTTATGTCTGTAAGGAAGGCAGACATTCGAGGTCATCTGTTTCTCAAAGGGTGAGACAACTAGACAGTGACTTGCTGGGAGGCGAGTTTCAGACCTATAAATTACCGTAACCAGGCAATCAAGTTCACTGAATGGACTATCACTTGATGAACAACCAATTCCTTTCGCTTATCCACTTATCACAATAGTCAATCTATAGATATTGTCAACACAAATTGGGATCAATTATCGATTACTTGGGGAGGGTAGGGGAAAATCAGAAATGTCGGGTGATGCTACCGTACTTTATGGCAATGTTACCAGTTTTCGGAAAAGGGCTAAAC